TTAAAATTTGTTTTTATCCTATTCATTTTTGTCATTTTGTTTATCAGATTTTCGATCAATTTTCCCGCTTTCACACTCATGGATGTACGAGGAATGAAAAAGTAAATGAATGAAAACGAACGTCTCTTTGGAATATTATCATGTGCTTTGAATTGACATAAATAAAACTAATATGTAATTAATGGTAAAAATTTATTTTTAATCTCTCATTTTATTAAATTAAAAACTTTTAATTTATCATTTTATATCATGATATTTTTAACCTTTTACCTTATTAGATTTATAGGTTTTAACCCCTCACCTATTAAAATCGAAAAAAATAACCACTACTTTATATTGATTGTTAACTCTATTAACTAAAAATAAGTTTTTATCAATTAACAGTCAACTAATAGTCAGTTAACAAAATTAACAAAATATTATAAAATTAATTTTATTAATTCTGTTAGCTGAAAGAAAACTTTTATAAATTAACAGCCAACTAACAATCAGTTAGTAAAGTTAACAGTCAATTAATATAATTAATAAAATATTACAAAGTAAGAATTATTTTGTTTAATTTTAATAGGGGATGGGTTAAAAGTATCATAGTATAAGGTAAGAGGCTAAAACTTACAAATCTAGTAAGGTAAAGGGTTAAAAATATCATAATATAAAATAAGAAGCTAAAATCTTCAAATTTAATAAGATGAGGAGTTAAAGTAGGCTTTTACCTGTAATTAACACACACTCTAATTTAATATATTAAATAATATATTTAAGAAAAATTATTATTTTTAATTTAAAATTAAAATTAAATAAATTTAAAAATATATTATGTCTATAATAAAAATCAATAAAAGTAATTATATTTTAATATTAAACCATGATGAATATTATAGAATGTGTACCAATAATTTTCTAATAAAATTACAAGAATGTCCTGACCGCCTCAACAGCAAATCCGTCACCAACAACGTTGGGTTCTGTCGTTGTTTGGAATGTTAAGTAGAAAATTTTCACATCAAATATAAAAATAAGAAATTTGTGAGTTAAATATAAGAAAAATTATTTTATTTATTATCAATTAATTTTAGTTTTAATGCAAGTTTTGTGTTGAGTTCACATATATAATTTTTTTCATGATATCAAAACTCAGATTTTATCTTAAAAAATTCATTGTTAACTCACGTGACAAGACCCAAAATTATATTGAACCTGCATTTAAAAGAGCAGGTCAACTCACGTAACAGGACCAGATATTAATATTTATAGCATATCTACATGTGAAGGGACGTGCTAAATGAGAAAGCCTAAATATAAAGAATATTACTTTACCTAATATCAACTAATTTTAAGTTATGTTCAAAAAAAAAAAAAAAAAACTAATTTTAAGTTATATACAAATTTTGTATTAAATTGGTATGCATAATTTTCACGAGTATCAAGTTGCTGTCATTACCCAACTTTGAGTTATTTTCGGTCGCGTATGTCGGCGCCTGTCAAACACGTTTTCAATTATTGCCATATCTTTTTTTTTTTTAAGGGACAATAATTAAAAATTAAAAGTGAAGTTACTATTTTACTTTTAATAAGATTTTACCATTAATTAAAGATGTAATCCACTAATAACCTTGTTAAGCTGCGCCACCAATGCCACAACAGGGGAATGCTGCCATATCCTCGCTTGAATTTGAAAGCGGGGCAATTTTGGTGAATTGTTAGACAAAACGAGGAACGTTTTGTAAGCTTTGACAGATCATAGCCAGTGGAAAACCGCACGCAGAAATGCAGAAAGCAGAATGCTCCTAGAAGTCCAACCCGTCGAGTGTAATAGCACAGAACCGTAGCTGCAACCATCAACTGTCAGACCCCCCGCGTAATGCTAACCTTTAAGAATTATTTAGTTGCTTTCACACTTCAGTGATTAAAAGAGGATTCTTGTATTATAATTTAGATTGTATATTAAAAATATATTTTTTAATAATTTATTTATAATATTATATATTAATTAATTTAATAATATATTATATTTATTTAATAATATATTATAATTATAAACTTATAATTTTATGTATAATGTAACCATCCTATTACTGTCTATAAATTTTGAATTTAAGTCCAAGGAAATATGAGGATAAATGTAGTATTCACAAATCAAAAACTGCATAACTAAAATATCATACGAGTAGACTCTTTAAATAAAGTTGTGTTTTCTCTTGGTAGTTTTTTATGTTTTGTAATTTATTATCATTTGAATGGTCATTTCTTTTTATCTTTTTTTTTGAAATGCAAAGAGAACTTTATTATGTGTATGTGTTGCGGGTACCAGGAGTACACCAGGCCAACACCAAATTGAGAAAGTTACAAATTGAAAGACAAGTCATTTCTTTTTATCTTAAGTAAGAAAAAAACTTAAAATTTTAAAGACAAAGATTCAGACTTTTATTCACTGGAGACATTCATGCGGGACAGGCAAATTTGAATTGACCAATTGAGTGATTGAATGGTTGGCTAGAAAAAGAACGGGACGAGTGAAATGAAAGGGAGGAACAATAATGCAGTTAGTGCAGCAACCTCCACTCGTTTAACCCCTCCACTCAAGCAAATGTCACCAACATGTCTCTAGATGTTTTTCACTTGATCGATTTTCCAATAAAAATGTTAGAGATATCTTTTATACTTTCTTTTTGAATACTTCTCACGTTACCAAAAATATATACGTAATATGCAGGCTTAAAAATTGAGTATGATTCATGAATTCTATCAAATTTCATTTAATTGATCAAATAAATTAATCAAATTTAAGTTATTTAAAATGTGATTAGTTGTTGGTCTTTAATACTAAAGTTAATGTTTTTAAAATTTTATACGCCACGTATGCTGATCATATAAAAATTTATTAAAAAAATATTAAATAGAATATTTTTAACATTTCTCTTCCAGCGATTAGTTCGACATGAGAATCTATAGAAAATGTTAGTCATCATCTCAATCGAGACCCCACTTTCCCATTTCTGTGGATCAAATTTTTGTGCCCTTTCATTGCCATCCACAGTACTAAAAACTTACCCTAATTCGTAAACTCCTAATCGAGAGAGTCGTGAAACTATTTAATTAATTATAAGCACTTTCTCTGTTCAACTTTAATAGCTTTCTTTTGGTACACAAAGATAATGTTAACTTTTCACCCTAAAAATAAGGCTTAGTTTAAGAAATTAATCATCTATTAACTATTACTTTTTTTCATTTTAATCTATAATTTTTGTTTTTTTTCAAACTCATTTACTAACTTTCAAAATTGTTTTATTTTCATCTATCTCTTTACAACTCCGTTAATTACATTGACGAAACTTCCTAATTCTAATTGTGTGATGCCATGAAAGCTACTGTGTGACCCCACTTAAGCTAACATGTGGCCTAAAAATTGTGAGGGAAATATTTTCACTTTTTTATTTTAGGTTAAATGCTTAATTTAAAAAGTGGGTAGTAACATAGCAACAATTTTTTTGTATAATTTTTTATATAATTTTTATATGTTATTAAATAAATAAATGTACTAAATATCGCAAGTTACAAATGAATAAAAAAAATTAATCATTTAAATCACCTTATAAAATTATATAAAAAAATA